GCTCGAATATTGGGATTTCCTGGACTCGCTTTGCGACATCACGTCTAACGACGGTCTCACTCAGTTGAACGACTACTTGGGTCGCATGTTGAAACGGGTAGTCACTGGTTCGCCGACGCAGATACGACGATCAAAGGAGAGAAAGTGTCTGCTGTCTGAGTTTGGCGAAGATGACGAACCGGAAGATAATTTTTACGATGCTAATGATAGCGTGGAGTGGGACCCCGTAGACGATCGCAGCGACGTCAGTCTCCTTTGCGGTGTCTTGCAAAAACTGAACCTCGATTACTACAGCGACGAGCTCATCTCAAGCGACAGTGATCGGTCACAAGAGGACGACGAGTTTTTCACGCCTCCCGAAACTCCCTCGTTTTCTTTTATCCACGGTCCGTTTCCTACTAAGACAGACTTCGACGTTTACACGGCGTTGGCGAACGTTAACCTGGTCGACTTCCCTTTTGTGGATCGGTGGTATTGTAAAGTTGGCGAATATTCGTCAGGGGAAAGATGTAGCTGGCCTGCGATCGATTCTCCGAGATCTGTTGGAAAAAAGACTCGAGCAAGACTCTGGCAACAAGTTCAACTATCGTGCTAATCTTGTTGTTTGTCTGATGCATTACAGTAAATTTTCTGGCTCATTAAACTTGTACTGATGAACTTATTGCCTGTAGTTCATGAATAAAAAATATTGCCTTTAAATCCGTACTTTATTCTGTTCTCATTATTTTATATCTGTCTATCGTTTTTTGTATATTTCGTTGTATGCTAAACTTTGCTCATACATTAAAATTTTCTTTTTTGGTAATAACAGCAAAACTTGCTCTGGACTAGAATGAACTTAAAAATAACATTTACCATACCTTGAACAGGGTCGAGGAGCTGTAGAATGGGAACTTCGATATCAGTTGAAATGAAAATTGAAATGCTCATACTTTTCCATTGCGATACTGGCATTGTTGTTGCGTTTTCAAAATTACGCATGGAATGGACATGAATTTTTATCAGTGCTTGTGATGCCTTTCTGGTAAATCACCTTGTCTACTAAAGGACGTTTCAAGCACATTTCCTTCAATGGTGAAAACTAAAATTGATGCATTTAAACGCTGTATATTTTTATTGTAGCAGTCACTAAATGTAAAGTTGCTGCTGATCCTGGTCCTGAGCGAAAGTGGTCGCGTGTTCCTTGATACTGCTTTTAAAATGTTTGGAAAATGAAACAAACTTAAAACTTGTATTTTTGCCCTCATTGAAACCCCTGGAAACTATCTGAGTGACATGGGTTTAATAGGCATAGCAGATTTGGTATTATGTTCTGATTCGAGGTTCATTCACCTTCGTACCATGGTGAGTTTAAATAGCACAGGTAGCAGCTTTAGGAGAGTTACGATCGTCAGTGTCTTCGATGAATGAGGGATGCTCCCGGAATGGATTCCAAAGCGCGACAGTTCTAAGTGTGTTGTACTCTAACCATTTAATTCTCTCGTTATTCGCGACGTAGCCATGCATGTGTTTGTCACCATAATAGCCCATTAAGCATTTCTAAAAAAAAGCAACTCATATGATATATTTTTGCGGTGTTCCGAAACCTATGGTGCGATTTCACACCAGCAGTCCTTCAAACCAAGTTTATTTTTGCCGCTAATGTCCAGGACGGCCCATTTTTAGTTTCTATGAGCACTCATGGCCATAAAGGAAGAAAGGCGCATGAACAAATTTTACGACAACTTTTGGCTACTGCTCGTTTCTGTCTTCATCACGGCGGACTACCATCATTATTGTGAAACTATCGGGATATCGGCCACGCTTGTGATAGTATCTGTAAACAGCAGCAGTGGGATAATCGCTTGAATGAGAGAGGCGGTTTTCATATTGCGAGGAAGAAAGCGACGTGAACCAGTAAGATCTTAAGCCTCTGGTCGTTTTCGTTTCTAGACTGCTGTTTCGTGCGCATTCAATTGAAGCACTATCAGTTCCTGGATCTTTTTGTTTTGTTCTTGGTCCCTCCAATGAAAAACTGTAGAAGTTTTTGGAAGACCAAACATGACAGTAGGTGGACGGCATGAGGAATGAAAAAAAACGTTTTTTTTGGAAAGGAATAACCTGTATTTCGCAGTGATAATTTCAAACAGTTACACGACCATCCTTCCGAATTTTCATGAACTTAAGGCGCTTCTTACTATGGCTCATTTCCGCAACACATGTCGCCAGAGGATGAGGGCATCTTCGGTTTAGAAGACTTCTTTTGTTACCGTTTTGAATGTTCGGGAGACTCTGTTCCGCTTGAGAAGGATCCACTTCCACTCTGCTAGGTTGGCTGTTTTGTATTTGTTCATTTGTTATATCTAATTTTTGGCAGCTCTCATGTGCCTTAGGGTTCGGTGAAATAATTTTGACCTAATGAGTGTATGCGTTGCTACTTTTGCAAGCTTGGTTTTGGCTATTATCTGCATGGCTATATGATTCCATTTGCAAATTGTTCCCCCTCCCGCAAATAGTGCTAAGCTTCGGACGTTAACGAATATTGCGGTGTTGCTTGCACACGCTAGATGATAGGATGTGCTGTCTGTGGGTCAGATTTCAGGAACAGCTGCACAATTTTTGTTTGTCTGAAGATATTACTTAAAATTTACCTCATTCAGATTTAGGTTCTGATTTAGGTTCTAATAACCTGCCTGTATAGTTTTTTAAGACACGCCAAGCAAGTGCTTAAATTAGTCATCATAGTCTACCAGCACATCGTTGTCTGTACAAGCAAAAAGGCCTAATCTACAAGATTCACGAAAAAGAGTCAACTGATTAGCATATAAAAACAGACTTATTGCATGACCTTGCGAGGTCATTGTCATGGTGTTTCAATTAAATCATAGGAAATTTCACTAATTCAGTCCGAAAAATATCATGGTCATTAAATAATATTGGGTTGTTTTGATGAAGGCGGTTTGGACGAGGAAAGATGGCTGCAGTCAGCGGCCTGTTCGATGCGCTCGAGTTTGAATTTACGTAATTTGTAGACGTTCGTCTGTATCAATGCTCAAGTCATAGCACATTTCCATCTGCGAATACGACTGGAAAACATGACTGTGAAAATCATGAATTTCGACGATATCCAGTTTGTTGTATGATTCAGTCATTGCAACTGCGCGCGCGAAAACGTTGAGTCAGTTTGTGGTCATGTGGAAGTTCATGAGAACATGATAGGAGGTATATAAAGAGCGCAGGTCAGATTGTCTGATTCATGATATGCTCCGCCCGTGACATTTGCAATTCAACGCTAAAATGTATAGGCAGAAACGCAAGCAATAGGCTCTGTAGACTCGGCTCCATATGTAGTGTGCTCTTGCAAATATGAAATATGTATTTAATGATTTTAATTTATTTTTATTGCACTTTAAGATTGTTTTATAAAATAGTAAAATGTTCATGCCCTTAACTTCCATTATCCTTGTCTCGAGCAAGTTATGGTGTTTTTAGTGGCTGTGCATTTCAGGAAATGGCATTTATGCCTTGCGTCACTTTTCCAGCGTTGCACGACCGTTTGGACAATGACCTTTGGTTTGAATTGAAGTTAAGTATGGACGTAGAAGAAACATTAAAAACGGAAGAGGCTGCGTACGACGAAGAGGTATGATTGTTTTGGAAAATGTGCTGTGTCTAATTGTACGTTTAGTTGGCTGCCGTTAGATCAATGTTTGCTTCCGTTTTGCCCATCGGCAGTAACTTAGACGTAAGTGTCTTACATCGCTGTTCT